CTCTCTCTTCTTCCTCTCTCTCTCTTCTTCTTCTTCTTCTCTCTCTCTCTCTCTCTATCTCTCTCTCTCTCTCCCTTCTCTCACTCTCGTCATTTCTCTCGGTCCTGTTCGGCACAACGTCCCGTGTCTCGTTATATTAGTGAAATGCAGCGAGATCGATTAGTTAGCGAGTATAGACAGAGGCTAGTAGCGATGGTAAGCCGGAATTCTACACCACGAAATGACGCGGGTTGCTGTCAGAAATCGCACGTACGCGCTGCGTGTAATTCGTACCGCACGTAATGCGGACGCATTGCGTCTGTCTGTGTCTCGAGGCTCACACTCACTTGATTACTACCCTGTTGCAATCACCGCCTCTCAGTGTGACCATACCCACGTGACTACTACCCTGGTGCAGTCATCGCCTCTCGACCCACACAACCAAGTCATTGCCACCCTGCTACAATCACCCCCTTCTACCAACACAACCAAGTCACTGGCACCCTGCTACAATCACCCCCTTCTACCGACACAACCAAGTCACTGCCACCCTGCTACAATCACCCCCCCCCCTCTGTCACCACGCCTATGTCACTGCTTCCATGTTACCCCCGTTACGTCACTACACCAACGTGACAGTTACCCTGCTACAAGCGTCTGCTCTCTGCCGGCACTACGCGCCAAACTAACAGCTAATAGTGGAATTATTGCGGCTTTTCCGTGTCGGGAGCCGTTCGCGTCGGCGTCGGCTTTCCGCGAGCAATTGATTGATGAAAGCGCTAAACTCTTTGGAAGAGAATAAAGACAGTCTAACGGTGTCGCGGCGAGTAGGTTGCTCTCGTTCGCGGTCACGCATGGGGGTTCTTTCGCGCGGTATTATGTCGTGTAGCGCGGGAGAAACACGCGAGCGTGTGTCAGCTCTAGTACGGTCAATCGTCGTTACTCTGTTGATGTCACGAGGGGTGGTGGGGTGGGGGGGAGGGGTTGTGTGCGCGCGCGCGTGTGTGCGTGTGCGTGCGTGCGTGTGTGTGTGTGTGTGTGTGCGTGCGTGGGGGTGTGCGTCTGTGTGTGCGTGCATGCGCGTGCGTGTGTGAACGTGTGCCAGTGCGTGCGTG